AAGGTTTCAATTTGGTGTTTGAACATCTTCACAGCTGTTTTATTGCCAGGCAGGCCGAAACCCATTCTAATTGTGTACAAAGTAAAATACATTACAAAAAATAACTTCATATACTGTGCTGTGTATTTCATACACGACTATATGGAGTATGTGTATGCATACATACGGTACAGTATTGATCAGATTCAGAAGATCAGATTCAGAATAGTAATTTATACTAGAGGAATCCGATGAGCTATAAAGCTCTTTTTCACAGATGTTCATTAATGTAGGGTACACAGAGATAAGGCAATTTATATGAAGTAGGCAGGGAAGTAACCTTTATACAATTAAAATCTATTATGTATCATATACGGACAATGGGGTTATTGGCAGTATTGTGTCTGAGAGAGACAAACGTCCACATTGAATGCCCCCTACTTAACATTCACGGTTTGCCCACTAGTGTTTACTGTATGCTTCCCTGTGGCATGTGGGTTCGATTGGTCTGCATCATAACACGTGGAACTGCCCTGTGAGGTCGGTGAGCCAAGCTCCAATATCAACAACGCAAGTGGGCACAGCCCAAGTGCCTCGCATAAGAACATGAAATTACTGCAAAACCACAGGGGCCCATTAGGTCCATCTAGGATTTTAGGTCATTCAGCTGCCCGCAGAGACACGCAAACTGTAGGGGAGTTTCCAAGTGTTATTGCCAAGGACAACCTTCCCGTCACACCAAGACCTCAACAATGTAACCTCGCCACTGACTCAAGTCCTGATCCCTCTGCTGGGATCGCGCTGCTGTCACCGTTACATGATGTCACCCAGATCCTGAAAAACGCTGGCGAACAGAGTGGAACAATGCCGACGTCCAGAATAAACGCCTCATTCGAGAACAAAATATCATCGCACCTCCTGGCCTTAACATTCCTCGAAGGCGTCGGTGGAACCAGCAACCACGTGAGAACATCAACAGGCTGATGTGCGCATCTCCTTCGTGAATGTACAATTTTAGACAAGCCATGCAACCAAAGCTACGGACCGGATAGTGAACCACTGTAGTCTGCACTCCTTTAACGCAGGAAGAGCAAAACTACACCAACTCTCTCCTGATGCCCTCTCATGCTTGTCAGATCTAGACGTTTGCATCTATCTCCTGAACACAATGCCATACACAAGAATAGAATACTTGTTAGGAGCATTCTGATCCTGAAGTCTCGTCGAGGCGTTGCTTGAAGAGTTCCCTTCGAATCACCTTTCAACCACACGGGATGAGATATTGGGTCCTTACCCACAACCCAATAATACGGCCACACTTTCAGTTCTTTCGTGCTGGTGGCTTAGACAAGGCTGGGAGCATTGTATATGCCAGGGACGTGCGGTCAGGGGAGGCAGAGCCTCACCTGTCATACTCCAATGAAAATAGCTGTTACGAAAAGTAAAAAAAAGGAATAATCAAATAAAATAAATATTAAGATTTTTTTTCCACTGATCTGTGTTATAAATGTAATTTCTGTACGATTCCAATCATTTTTATAGTCAAAGTCGCCAAATTTGCGGAGCTCCGCTGCAAATACAGGAAGAGACGAGAGGTGAGGCAGCGACGAGCTCAGCCTCCCCTCTGATTGCGCAACCCCTCATTAATTGGATGGAGCGCGAGCAATAAGTGCGTGCCTGTTACTATCTCAGTATGTCACCAATGTAATGTTTGTAGACCCCTTCATTTCATGTCGTCGCCTTCCATACTCCAGGTAACTTATTTCACGTGTGTGTATACAACATATTTAGGCTCGCTGGTCTCGTCATGAAACTGCAATGAAAGAGCACCAGGGGAGGCAGCTATCACATCTGCCTCACTGAGGGGGACGTGTCTATCACGCCCCCCTCAATGAGGACACGCCCCTTCAGTAAGGCCACGCCCCCTCAGTGTGTGAATATGACTCTGACACTAGCTGGTATATGCAGTATGGTGGTTACATGAAATGCATCTTATGGTGGTTACATGAAATGCATGCAAGACTGGAATAATAGCAATTGTGCTTCCTGCTGTTTCTGAGCACACCTTTTTGTGTTGATAAATCTGTTTTTGTAAATTACCTCCATTATATTGATAGCATGTACAGCCCTTTGCCCATATAGCATTTTGAGATGTGGTCACATTTACATGCTATTTCAATACAAATGGCGCGTGAATATTTTGAGTTGGCATGTTCACACGTAGAAACAACATGCGTTTAAGAGTATTTGGCCGCTTTAAAATTCCACATAAGCCACTGATTTGAGATTTCATTTGTGGCCAAGGTCGCTTCTGAATAAGAGCTATATAGCTCAGTGGGAGTTCCCTGGTAAATTAAAAAAATAATTGAGTTGATAGTTTCGTAGGTTAGGGGGATTCCCAGATAGGTTCATATACATGTATATCACTCGCCACTGATGGTAGCCTTGACCAAAATTGAACTCCCAATTTATGCATCCGTAGCACCGAGTTCACAGCAGTGATTTGCAAATACACAATGTGTTCCAAATGAAGCCAAACAATGTGTGATTCGGTCTTTGGGAAGTGTCTCATTTTCAAATTGTTATAACCACTAGAATAGCATTTTCGTTGTGGCAGCCTTATCAGTGAATACGTGTGCATCCGTGTGTTGATGGAATGCTTTTTTGAGATTTCCTAATTTCATTAATTCCACAAAAAGTATGCCCAAAACTATTGTAAAAGCCATACTGCAGTACTGTAAATACAAGTATAGTACTAGTCTTGATTACGTTTACTGTACTACTAAATGTTTATTTATAATCATTTTCAGCTGTTTGTCAATCCACTAATGGATGAAGGCGTCCCCACACCTTTCAGATGTAGGTTTTTTTTTTAAATAAATCCATACTTCACCACACTGGTGAGTGTGGGTTGCGGACAGGGCCCAGACAGGACCAGCTAAAACTTCAGATATCACTCGCCACCGATATTTAGCCATGGTTGCTCATAGCAGTGCGTGTTACACTCTGCCACTCATAACCAAATGTTTCCCCAAAAAATACAGGGTGACAAATGTGTATATAATATTGTACCATATACATACAATATGCAGAACTAGGGTGAAATTTCAGAGAAAACTACATTTAATCAAAAATATTCGCCATATCTCCCACCAATCTCAATATAATACTTGTCTTAAGTGTGTTCATTCTCCTGATAGACGTTGTCCAACATTGCCAATCCATATTGAACAAAGTATTGCGAACATTGTAAGAGAGTCATTTGACACCATTGGGGTGTCTATAAATCAATCACCCTGTAGGTAGCCTCCGTTAGGTGTTTAGTTTGTTGTCATTCCCCCCGCACCTCCGATTCGCACGGTTGGCTACGTACGGTGCGGAAGAAGTTCAACATACATACGAATGTATATTATTTGGGTCTTTCGGTAAAGTCACGTAAATAGGTTCAAAGAAAATAACATTTTCCCAAATAATATGAATTCCTGCAGTCACGAAAGCTTTAAGTCAAGATACATACGGATGTTTTAATTTAGAGTTTATTTATTTAGAGTTTATATTGATTACACGTTTGCTCCCGTTTAGCCAGTTTCCCAGCTATTTTACTTCAATCACTGCGCAATTTGTTTCCAATACAAAGCGCACTCGGAGGGTTTTTTTTAAAGTTTAATTCTGCATTGTCAAAGGCAAATGCAAAATCAAAGGCAAATGAAAAAGGTGAAGAAGCATTGTTAATGTCAAGACTAGTTGACGGGCGAGACACTTTTTCCAGGCATCCCAGTATCGTAACTTTCCATGCTGGTGGGCAAGTTGCATAAGTAGAATAACGTGCACCTGTTGATTGACATGTAATAATCTCACATGTCTCCATTACCCCACGTAATGCAATCATGTAGAAAGCGTTTTTAGATATAACAGTGATATCAATTACAGTTCATCCCACACCGCTGGAAATCAATGTGTCCGAGTCCATCCGCACGATGGCCAGATTCAATACACAGTGCACGTGTGTGATGATACTGAATGGCTCGGAATTGAACTCTGATCATCATTAGGATTGTACTGCATTCTAGAATTGTGGGTCATACACAAAACACAGATTCGTCTGTATCGCACACGTGTCTAACACACGTGTAGTATGGGTTTCACTAGTACTGTATGTAAACCATTGTCACCAGGCAACCAAGCTATTATCCAAAGATTAGAAGCTCATGCTTGTAGGGGCCCATTTAAATCGTCAGCCTATAATCGACGTATTTTGTTGCTTGGACTTTCGCAGCAGTGACGCAGTCCAAATGAGCAAGCAATACAATAACGCATGGCAAGTTCGACAGTGTCAATAGCCACCGCAACGTTTCACTTGTCTTATTTGCAGCGTTAAGCATGGCACCAACTATACTACGGTGCATGATGAATACGGTGGCATTAATTGGAACTTTGTATACATTAAGTTACATTACAATTCGAGGTGAGGTCAGTGTCTCCCCTGTACAAACGAGAAACTGAGCTGCAGCTCATCACCGTTAGAGGCTCCGATTATCGAGCCAATGGTGGAAATTCCACATTACAATGGCCAGGTGCCAGTGTATCCAAATGACGACCCACTTCTGACTTCCCACAAAGTGTTTGTTCTAACTACGATGTATCAGACGACAGTGCACACACACGCGCGCGTGCGTGATATAACTGATAACTATTTAAGTGTTTACCCTATATCTTTACAAGTGAGCATCTCCTTTGATTAAGGCTCCAAGTATTGTATTTAACATTAAAGTAGGCGTTTTACTGTCAGCAAGCCGTAACATCCGTTAACTGTTTTAATGTTACACTCCGACGAGGTTGTTTGTGAGAAGACTGCAAGCTAAATACAAAACGTAAAACTTCACGCGACAAAAAAACGGCGCTGTCAAATGAACTCATATTTCGCTACTTCTATAAAGGCATATAGTACGTAACTTTCGTTTCTTTTGCCACGGACTTACTACTGTATCACTGTTAAAACATTTGCGGAAATATCCACTCACCGGAAACCGTGAGCCAGAGGCAGCCTCCCATGGTGGGGACACGATATACGCGCGTTTTGGAAAAAAATATATATATGATTCGTGCGCCCCAGACTTTTAACAAGAAGACAGAGAGGCGGGGAGGGCCCTTTAAGGTGGCATGGCACTTTTAAATCGGACAACAACGGTGGTGGCCCAACTCGGCCAGCCTTCGCTTTGTAACTTTTGTTCAGTGTCAAACGAAGAAGGGGAGCTCTCGGTGCGACGCAACTTCGCCCACTGAGCTATGCGCAAAAAGTGTGAGTCTCTTTAAGAAAACACTAAAAATAATAAAATAACTGCCAGAGGAAATGTGTAGGCGGTGAGTCACACTACGAGTGGGGAGGGGGGTTAGCGAATGAGACTGGCGTTTAGCTGACGTCTGTGTTGTGAGTGTGGTGTGTGCCCTCTGTGTTGTGAGTGTGGTGTGGGCCCTCTGTGTTGTGAGTGTGGTGTGTGCCCTCTGTGTGAGTGTGGTGTGTACCCTCTGTGTTGTGAGTGTGGTGTGTGCCCTCTGTGTTGTGAGTGTGGTGTGCCCTCTGTGTGAGTGTGGTGTGCCCTCTGTGTGAGTGTGGTGTGCCCTCTGTGTGAGTGTGGTGTGCCCTCTGTGTGAGTGTGGTGTGTGCCCTCTGTGTTGTGAGTGTGGTGTTGCCCTCCTCTGTGTGAGTGTGGTGTGTGCTCTCTGTGTGAGTGTGGTGTGTACCCTCTGTGTTGTGAGTGTGGTGTGTGCCCTCTGTGTTGTGAGTGTGGTGTGGGCCCTCTGTGTTGTGAGTGTGGTGTGCCCTCTGTGTGAGTGTGGTGTGTACCCTCTGTGTGAGTGTGGTGTGCCCTCTGTGTGAGTGTGGTGTGTGCCCTCTGTGTGAGTGTGGTGTGTGCCCTCTGTGTGAGTGTGGTGTGTACCCTCTGTGTTGTGAGTGTGGTGTGACCTCTGTGTTGTGAGTGTGGTGTGTGCCCTCTGTGTGAGTGTGGTGTGTACCCTCTGTGTGAGTGTGGTGTGTACCCTCTGTGTTGTGAGTGTGGTGTGTGCCCTCTGTGTTGTGAGTGTGGTGTGGGCCCTCTGTGTTGTGAGTGTGGTGTGGGCTCTCTGTGTGAGTGTGGTGTGCCCTCTGTGTTGTGAGTGTGGTGTGCCCTCTGTGTTGTGAGTGTGTTGTGTGCCCTCTGTGTTGTGAGTGTGGTGTGCCCTCTGTGTTGTGAGTGTGGTGTGCCCTCTGTGTGAGTGTGGTGTGCCCTCTGTGTTGTGAGTGTGGTGTGCCCTCTGTGTGAGTGTGGTGTGCCCTCTGTGTGCGTGTGGTGTGTGCCCTCTGTGTTGTGAGTGTGGTGTGCCCTCTGTGTGAGTGTGGTGTGTACCCTCTGTGTGAGTGTGGTGTGTGCCCTCTGTGTGTGTGGTGTGTGCCCTCTGTGTTGTGAGTGTGGTGTACCCTCTGTGTGAGTGTGGTGTGTGCCCTCTGTGTGAGTGTGGTGTGTGCCCTCATTGTGACTGTGGTGTGTGCCCTCTGTGTTGTGAGTGTGGTGTGCCCTCTGTGTTGTGAGTGTGGTGTGCCCTCTGTGTTGTGAGTGTGGTGTGCCCTCTGTGTTGTGAGTGTGGTGTGTGCCCTCTGTGTGAGTGTGGTGTGACCTCTGTGTTGTGAGTGTGGTGTGCCCTCTGTGTGAGTGTGGTGTGCCCTCTGTGTGAGTGTGATGTGTGCCCTCTGTGTGAGTGTGGTGTGTGCCCTCATTGTGAGTGTGGTGTGTGCCCTCTGTGTTGTGAGTGTGGTGTGTGCCCTCTGTGCAGTGCCGGCCTTCATAGTTGCTCGCTAATAGCACTTTGCTCCAGCAGTTTGTTAAGGGGGGACCTTAGTCTTATTTTCTTTGGGTCTTTCGGTAAAGTCACGGAGATGGTTCAAAGGAAATAACAAAAAAGCTACGACGTTTCGATCGCAGCACAAGCCACCGTCGTCAGGAGGAAAGAGCTCTTTCCCGACGATGGTCTGGGCGTCGCTTAGGTCGACTCAGCCTTAAAACGAGTCACCCGATAAACATCGCTCGCAGCAAACTTTCCCCCAAAAGTCTGTTAAGTCCACACGGGGCGATCTTTGTCTTTGCATTTTAAATAGTTGTTTTTTGTTTGTTATATCAAAGCAATAAATGCGCTAGAGAAAGTGACGTGTTTAAAACGATCGAAAGGCAAGGGATGTCACGGGGCATGTTGCAAAAGGGTTTTTTTGTAAAACTATACCCGTGCACAGATCAAGAATGTGTAAGCTGAAGGGCTCTCTGTGTGTCACGGATGGTCCGCTTATTGGCTGCACTAAGAGGAACCTGTTTTCTTTTTTTTTATAACCTGGGTTCGATTCCCTGACCACGCACAAAATGAGTCAGAAGTAAGCGAAATCTGATCTCGTCTTGGGTCTCTTCAAGGTCCGCTTTTCGTTCAACGAGTACCTGCTGTGTGGACATTAATGCTGTGGATGATCACCGTGGCTGCGGTTTTGTAAATAAGAGGTCACGTTCATCACGGAAATGGTGAGTTTGAATGACACTAATGTCCAGTGAATTATTAGAAACGGCTATTGATATTTGGAACACGTTAGATTAGACGTTTCCATGGTTGGAACGTTGGGGGGGGTGGGTGGGAGAAAACCCGGCCCTCTACAACCAAATCGGAAACAGCCAGCGGAGATACAGCGAGATAAACACGGCGATCTACAGAGAGACACGGATACACAGGTACTCTAACAGAGAATGAGATCCACGCAAACGCGGGTATACACAGAGACACACACACTGACGGAGATCCACGTAGATACACGGACATGTGCAGACGCACGCATACGATCATACAACAACAACAAAAACACGAAGATCCACGCAAAGATTATCGGAGATATATACACACACAGACTCGGAGATACACACATAGACTAGGAGATACACTCATAGACTTCGAGATACACACACAGACACGGAGATACACACACAAACTCGGAGACACACACACTCAGACTAGGAGATACACACACAGACTCGGAGATACACACACAGACTCGGAGATACACACACAGACATGGAGATACACACACAGACTCGGAGATACACAGACATGGAGATACACACACAGACATGGAGATACACACACAGACTAGGAGATACACACACAGACTCGGAGATACACACACAGACTAGGAGATACACACACAGACATGGAGATACACACACAGACTCGGAGATACACAGACTCGGAGATACACACACAGACACGGAGATACACACACAGACTCGGAGATATGCAAAGCGGAATATGGAGATACAAAACAACACGGGGATGCAAAGACATTTGCGCGCAGAGAAAGACATACACAGAGAGACACAGAGAGACACAGAGAGACACAGAGAGACACAGAGAGACACAGAGAGACACAGAGAGACACAGAGAGACATCGACACGGGAATTCATATAGACAAAGGCCACCCGTGTAGCCTTAACAGACTGTTGGGGCAAGTGCCCATATGAAGACCGGCAAAGCAGACAAGGGGGTGGGTGGCCAGCACCACGCCCGGCCGCCTTTGTCTCCCTAGTGACGATCTTTACTACACACTGCACCGGGTACTCATTTGAGGCTGAGTCGACCTAGTGGAGGGCCAAGACCGGTTCACATAATCGTCACTGGTGTTGGCCGTGAGCGGGAATCGAACCCGGGTGGCCAGGCTCGTAGTGCAGCGCGCTAACCGCTACACTATCGCTCCCCTTACAGCCACACACAGACACACACACAGATACACACATACAGACACACACATACAGACACACACACAGATACACACACAGACACACACACAGACACACACATACAGACACACACAGACACACACACACAGACACACACACAGATACACACACACAGACACACACACAGACACACACATACAGACACACACAGACACACATACAGACACACACAGACACACACACAGACACACACACACAGACACACAGACACACACACACAGACACACACACAGACACACACAAGAGCACAGACACACACACACACAGACACACAGACACACACACAGACACACACACACAGACACACACACACAGACACACGCACAGACACATACACACAGACACACACAAGAGCACAGACACACACACAGACACATACACACAGACACACGCACACACACACACAGACACATACACACAGACACACACAAGAGCACAGACACACACACAGACACATACACACAGACACACACACACAGACACACACATACAGACACACACAGACACACACACAGACACACAGACACACACACACAGACACATACACACAGACACACACAAGAGCACAGACACACACACAGACACACACACAGACACACACACACAGACACACACACACAGACACACGCACACCTACAACAAGTAGAGGAGGGTGCACCGACACACCGTGACCTCTCCGTGAATTATCGTTTCCCCCCACCCCACCGCATCTTGGCCGTGAATTTCACAACAATTTACCGTGACAAAAACGTAGCCTTAGACGTCAGCAGCCGGGGCTTGGTCGGTGCGAATGATAAACTCCACGCATTTGAAGTTCTCTCCCAAGTCCACCCCCAACTTTCGGAGACTCCCACCCCCTCCACTCCCCAGCACAATCATCACACTCAGTGTTGCCAACTCAGAATTCACTTCACTTGTTCTGAAATGACTCGTGAAAACTGTGCTAGTCCAAGTTAGCAATGAAATATTAATCCCATTTCCTGAGACCCTACTCTCTGACACTCTTTGACCCCAATTGATAGGAAAACAAACCTATCGTTTTTTAAAAAAGGGTATTATTTCTATTAAAGTATTCAATCTCTCCCCACGGATATTGGGACTGAACTCTGGGAAGTACTAGATTCCCTTCTATTATCCGAGACGTCATCCGGAATTGTTAGGAAAATTGAACCAGTTAACTTTTTTCTCCCACAGATAACAACTGAAAGCAGTTTCTGCGAATAAATGCAAATCATAGGTTCTTCCAATGGCGCGCTCCACATGTTTACAGGTATATGGAGATTCACTGTATATTTCAACTACTTTCTACGTACAGCCCTTATGTCAGTCCACTGATGCACGAGGGCCTACCCACGCCACGTGCATTGTGGGGAATTAATTGACCATACTTCACCGTGTTAGTCATTGCCCTTTGCTGCCAACAACATACATAAAATACTGTACAATATATATAAAATATTGTACAAGCATGTTATCTCCCCCGTCAAGTTAATGTGGAAATGTTA